TAACCTCAACATAATAAACATGAACAATAGATCTTAACATATAGTTCTTAATACACAGTTGAACATTACATTTGTGTCATCTAAAACAGACTGAAAAAATTTTCAGCTCAGAATCTACTTGGAATGTTATACATATATTTTCACTACTTGATTAATATTCTATGGACTGCATCTTCTCACTTCTATTTTACTGCCCTCGTGGGCACCATATCAGAAACTGGCTTTGCTTGCAACTACTTAAATCTACAGCTTACTGTGTCTTATCTTCCGTATTTACTCTGGTCATTTTACATTCAAAATAAAACTTTATACATTAAAAATCTCAAAACTATGCTTCAATTTATATAAAACAATGTGACCCAACTTTAATCATCAAAGGTCTTAGCAAGAAGGAGTAACTGAGAATTTTCCATTTTTATAAAAATGACATCTAACACATAATAGCCATTTCTGCCTAGTTTATCGATTAAACTGCAGCCTGAAGCTTGAAAAAAATATTCCAACGAATAACGACTTCAAAGTCCTTCCCTTGACCCAGTGCCCTTCTCAACTACCTTCCCCCTCCCTTTTTCCTCTCTTTGTGAAGTAGAAATCCTTTTAAGAGCTGTGTGTTTGGCTCTCTCCGGTTTTCTTCTCTCATTTGCTCTTCAACATACCTGTGGCTAATTCACTCCACCAAAACTGCTCTTACCAAGGGCCAGATACAATGGTTAAATGTCACTCCTCATCTTTCTTGTCTACCAGCAGCATCTGATACAGATGCTCACCCTGTCCTCCTGAAAACACTTTCTTCATGTGTTGGTTTCCAGGACACTGCATTCTCTTGGTTTTCTTTTCTTCTTCTTTGCTGGCTCTTCCTATTTTTCCAAATTTTTAATGTATGACTGCCTCAGGGATGAGACATTGGTCTCTTTCCTAATCATATTCAATACTTGGGTGGTTTTCATCTGTTAAGAAATCCTACTGATTCTACTCATCCAAAACATACCATTAGCATACTCAGCACCATGTGCCCTTCTACCCTGGTCTGAGCCATCATTATCTCTCCTACCTGGGCTCCCATTTCCATCCTTGCTCACTATTATCTATTGCTAACTACTATATTCATCGCAGCCAGTGATGCTTTAAAAATATTAACTTAGGGACTTCCATGGTGGTCCAGTGGCTAAGACTATGTGCTTCCAATGAGGGGGCATGGGTTTGATACCTGGTTGGGGAATTAGATCCCACAAGCTCTTGTTGCTGTTGTTCAGTTGCTCAATCATATCTGACTCTTTGAGACCCCCTGGACTGCAGCACGCCAGACTTCCCTGTCCTTCACCATCTCCCAGAGTTTGTTCAAACTCATGTCCATTGAGTTGGTGATGCCATCCAACCATCTCATCCTCTGTCGTCCCCTTCACCTCCTGCCCCCAATCTTTCCCAGCATCAGGTCTTTTCAAATGAGTCAGCTCTTTGCATCAGGTGGCCAAAGTATTGGAGCTTCAGCTTCACCATCAGTCCTTCCAATGAATATTCAGGACTGATCTCCTTCAGGACTGACTGGTTTGCTCTCCTTGCAGTCCAAGAAACTCTCAAGAGTCTTCTCCAACACCACAGTTCAAAAGCATCAATTCTTTGGTACTCAAAGCTTTTTGTATAGTTCAACTCTCACATCCATACATGACTACTGGAAAAACTATAGCTTTGACTATACAGGTATTTGTTGGCCCACAAGCTCTGGGATGCAACAACAACAAAAAAATGTGTGTGTGCATATATATATATATATATATATATATATATATATATATATATATAATTAGGTGCAATCACTCCCTTGCTCAAATACCTCTCTAATGGTTCTCTAATTTTACTGAAGGTAAGAATCACAGTCCTTCCATGGTCTGCAAAGCCCCCAGATCTGCCCCACTGCTGCCTCACTCCTACCTTTCTGATCTTGTCTGACCTTCCCACTGGCCCTGCTTGCTGGCTCTTCCCTCTTGCTCGCTGCTTTCCGGTTGCACCAGCCTCCCTGCTCCTCCTTAAACACGCCAAACACACTGCTGCCTCAGTCCCTTTACATTTACCCTTTCCTCTGCTGGGATCACTCTCATGTCCCTATATCTACACGACTCTGCTTTCAAGTCTTGGCTCAAACGTCAGCAAGGCCTTTCCTGACCACTCTATCTCATACCGCAACAACTCTCCCACTCCACATGCCCCCTTCCTTTCTTTCTTATTTTTATAGCATGTACTACCACCCAGTATACTATATACAATTTACTTATTTTGCATATTGTCTCTCTCCCCACAATAAAACATAAGGTTCCTGAGATAAGGAATTTTTGTCTGTTTTCCTTATTGGGGAATTCTTCCCACAAAGAAGAGCCTGCAGTATACAGTCAGTTTTCAATAAAGATTTCTTGAAAGACAATTAACATGAGGTAGCCAGCATTGTAAACTAGACTATTTTGGCTACAAGCCCACACAATTCAATTAAAACATCAGTTAAGAAGCTTCTAGTTGAAACAAATAGCTAAAGAATTTAAATAACTTGAAGACATAGAAATAATAATAGCTATCCAAAATGAACTACAGAGAGAAAGAGGAATTTTCTAAATTAGAATCAGTGAGCAGTGGGAGGACTTCAAACAGCCTAATATATGTGTAATTGGAGTCTCTGAAGAAAAGGTCAGAAGAATAATGGCTGAACATTTTCTGAATTTCATGAAAACTTAACACAAATTTAAGAAGCAACAAACAGTAAACCTAAGAATCATGAAGAAAACCATACAAAGGCACATCATAATCAAACTATTAAAAACAGTGATAAACAGAAAATCTTAGGGGCAGCCAGAAAAAAAGGGCACTTTACATACGAGATATAAAGGAAAAAGACGACAGCAGATTTTTTATCAGAAATAATGCAGAAAAGACGAGAGTGGAGAAACGTCTCTAAAGCCCTGAAGGAAAAACGTCAACCCAGAATTACATATACAGTACAAGTGTTGTTTAAAAACAGACAAAATAAGGATTACTTTAGATACACAAAAGCTGAAAGATTTCATCATCAACAGACCTGCTCTATAAGAAATGTTAAATGAAGTCCTTCAGGCAGAAGAAAAACGATGCCAGATAAAAGTATGTATCCAAATAAAAGAATAAAGATGAGAAAACATGCATCCACATCCAGGGATGTGTCAATGGTAACTCCACTAGTAAATGTATGAGTTTTAAAAATATTGAAATCTCTTTAAAACATAATTAACTTTTTAAACAAAAACAATGATACTGCATTTTGTGTTTTATAAAACAGGTATGAATAAAATGCATGACAAGAAAATAGAGGCAAGGAGGCGTTAGACAGAAGTATATTACCAAGGACTTCTCTGGTGATCCGGTGATTAAGAATTTGCCTTGCAATGCAGGGGGTATGGGTTCGATCCCTGGTCCAACTAAGATTCCACATGCCATGGGACAACTAGGTTTGTGTGCACAACTACTGAGCCCACGTGCCCACATGACACAGTGAAGATCTCATGTGCTGCAACGAAGACCTGACACAGCCAAATTAATTAACTAATTAAAAAAGGAGAAGTATATTATTTTAAGGTTCTCACTAGTGGTAAAGAACCTGCCTGCCAATGCAGGAGATGCAAGGGGTGTGGGTTTGACCCCTGGATCGGGAAGATCCCCTGGACGAGGAAATGGCAACCCACTCCAGTATTCTTGCCTGGAAAATCTCATGAACACAGGAGCCTGACAGGCTACAGTCCATGAGGTCGCAAAGAGCTGGACAGGACTGAGTGACTGAGCATAGTAATATATACTACATGTTCAGTGGTGAATATTACTTGAAGTAGTCTGTAAGTTAAAGACTTATACATGAACGTTGACAGCAATTCATGTGTAGTAGCCAAAAGCTGAAGCCAACTGAAATGTCCATCCACACACGAATGGATAAGCAACCTGGGGTGTATTTACAAAATTGCATACAACCTACAATAAAATGAAATGATACGCTGATATGTGCAACTAAATGGACAAATCTTAAAATAATTATACTGAGAGAAAGCAGCCAGATGAAGAAAAGGTACAGACTACATGAGTACCTTTAAACTGCAGAAGAAATAATCTATAGTGACAGAAAACACGTCAGTGCTTGCCTAGTGGTGAAGTGGGGCAAGAGAGATTACAAAACATTATGAAGAAACTTTGGGAAGTGACAGTTATCTTGATGGCAGTGATGGTTTCTTTCACACGTGTGTCTGAAAACTTGTTAAATTGTTCACATTAAGTACACACAATTTACTGTATGTGAAGTCCTCAATAAAGCTGTTTCAAAAACAATTTTGGACTTAGGTTAAAAAACAAAATATTTAGACTATTTAAGGTGTTCTTATTCCATAAAGTAACAATAAAATAGATGAAAGCTAGAACCAATAAAATAGTTTTAATTTTTAAGAGTTAGAATGGATCATACAAACCAATTAATCAAATACTTTTTATTAAGAAATAAAGAAACTGTGAGTCTCAGAGAGGTTTAGTGACTTCCCAGAGACCTACAGCTAAAGTTAACAGTTTACTAAACCGTAAAATCCACAACAGCAGGGACTGTTATTTAGGTCACCACTGATCCCCTACACCTAGTACAATGTCTGAGACATAGTACAAGCTCAATAAATATTTTTTGACCTATCTTTACCCTGTAAAGAAAGTAAAAAGGAAGATAAAAGAATCTCCTTTGCGGTATGACTGAAAATTTCCCTCAACTTTGATTTTCCAATCTCTTTAACACAGATGAGAGAATTAAGCAATAGCTTTAATATCATAAATATAAGAGAACAAATTATATTCCATATTTTTAGCTTACTGTATATTTTATTATAAAATAATACTTTAAAATTTCTAATTCACATTAGCAACTTTTAAGCAAGCAGGAGAATTAATAGAAAATACTCTATTCAAAAAGCTTACTGACATTTTTCAAATTAAAAGATTGAAAGAAATGTGCTTACCAAAAATTTCTCCATTTTTGGCATATTCTGTCACAAGGTACAACATGCTTTTGGTCTCCATTACCTATTGATAAGTAATTCCATATTAGTTTGACAGGAAAAGATTGCTATTTACTACAACGTTCTGTAAAATTGTTGTTGTTGAGTCACTAAATCATGTCCAATGCTTTGCGACTCCATGAACTGTAGCTCACCAGGCTATTCTGTCCAGAGGATTTTCCAGGCAAGAAAAATGGAATGGGTTGCCATTTCCTTATCTAGGGGATCTTCCTGACCCACGGATTGAACCTGTGTCTCCTGCATTGGCATGTGGATTCTTTACTACTGAGCCACCAGGGAAGCCCTCTATGGAATTACCTAAATTAAAAAACTAATAAAAGTGTCAAGTTATGAACCATTCAGAAGCTGGTAATGACAATATCCTTCTCCTAATACTTCTGTGAAAACTCTAGATTGTGCATCTTCCAAATGTGGTTCACAGCCAGCAGCGGTAGCACCGCCCAGACGCCTGCTAGAAACGTAAACTCTCAGACCCCACGACAGACCTATTGACACAGATTTATACTTTCACCACATCTTCAGGTGACTATCATTCTCATTCAAGTTTGAAAAATACTGATATAGGTAACAGGAGTTTTGGAGAGCAACTTTTTAACCTCCTCACTGACTTTTCTAGCTGTGTTACATGGTAGATTGTGATTAAGAAACGAATAATAAAACAGAGCTGTTAATCTGGCCTGTAACCTAGCTAATCTGTCACAGTGTGGTAATCCTCTTACTACACTTTCACATTTTTACAAAGTAGTGTTTTTTTAAAACATTGTTCAAAATCTTCTTCCACAGTTCCACTGCAATACATTTTTATTTAAATTAGTTTTTCTAAATCTAGAAAGGAACATACATACTGGCACATGCTAGTAAATGTAATATTTAACTACTATCTACTGAAAGGCTAAAAACCAATTTTGCTCTAACATTCAGATTTAAGACTGTTCCTAAAACAGGCTAGAAAACTAAGGGCTACCTACAATTTGGGTCTAAACAAGTCAGACAGTAAGTTAATGTAACTGATTACTGGAGTTCAAATAAACACAGAATTCTCAGGTGAATCATGGCAGCTTTTGGTTTGTTTGCTTTGTTTATTAATTGAAGTACAGTTGAAGAATCACTGTAGTTTTAACCTCAGTTTGGGCTATGGTTCATCAGACTTCTAAGGATGTGATTAGTTTATTACAAGCATCCTCTTTGGGGAAAAAAAAAAAGCTTAAAGGGAGAAGTACTCTGATATAAATTTGATCTAAGAGGCCCTCCGTAGTTTTAGAAGCTTAGGAATTGTTTTGAGTGGTACATACACCATAGTGTCTCATTCTCAGCTAGCAGAAATGCTCTCCAACAGTCTCCAAAGGTTTAAACTCGAAATCTCTCTCAATAAAGCCAAATATGTATATGTATGTATGTATACATATAAATGTATATGTAGATGTACTTATGAATATATACATGCAGAGACACAAACTGTATACCTGTGGCATTTTATAAATACATACATTATAAAAGGAACACAAGGAGATAAATAAAAAAGATAAACAGAATTGGAAGTTCTAATTTTTTTTACTATACCCCAAGGGACACTTGTGCTAGCCAATCTGAGTGCACAGCGTAGTGTTCTGGACTTCCCAGGTGGTGCTAGTGGTAAAGAACACGCCTGTCAATGCAGGAGTCGTAAGAGACGCGGGTTCGATCCCTGGGTCAGAAAGATGCCCTGGAGGAGGGCACGGCAACCCACTCCAGTATTCTTGCCTGGAGAATCGCGTGGACAGAGGAGTCTGGTGGGCTACAGCCCATAGGGTCACAAAGAATCAGATGTGACTGAAGTGACTTAGCATGCATGCAAGCAAAAGCGTGCTAGCACTAGCTCACTGAAGGAAAAAAAGGCTCTGACTTTTAAACCAATTTCTGCAGTGTAAAAATACTCCTACCATCGCTGATTTTGAGCTATTAGCAGGTTAACTGACTCACAGAACTTCTGAAAATCTGACAATCAGCTCCCACAGCAAGTATAGGCTGAGCACGGCACATCTCTAAGGCCACACACTGCACTTTGGAGAGCAAAGTCACTGACTAGCAAGCACACTATAACATTTTAGCTTAAAAATAGTTTTCTAATATAAAAATTCTAAATATTAATGAATAGAAATATAAAAAGTTTTGTATTACATTACCATTCTTAAACATAAATTACTCTTTAGAAATCTGAGAAAAATCTTCCTTTTAAAACACATGGCTTACACTTGAAACTCATGCAGTTTATTTTATGAAATTTATACCTTAGTAAGGTTAATTTTTTTTAAATGAATGATTTGCTTTACCTGATAAAAGAACCCTCCCTCAAATAAAGACTTGACTTTGGGTATTAAAATGTATGTCACTAAGTAATAGTCTATTTTAGCCTTTGTAGTTCATATAACATAAACAGCATTATTTTTTAAATAAGCAAAACTGTTGTATCCATTAAACCACCCACCACCAAAACCCAGCAGGTTTAAGCAGATTATCATAAACACACAACTACAGACTTCGAAATTAAATAACTTACAGTCTGAGAGACAACTTAAAATTAAGCTGGTAGTTTTTATTTCCTAATTTTTAAATACAGAGAAATGGAAGTATTCATATTAATAAAAGCATATAATTATCTTTTTAGAGACTGAAAAAACTAACATAAAAGAGAAAAATGATGATGTAAAATAGGGTATTGAATGTGAGAAGCATGGAGAAGTATAAAGTTAAGTCATACCTGATAAAGTTTGATTATGTGAGGGTGGTCTAACAGTTTCATTATTTTTACTTCTCGGTAGATTTTCTCAAGGTTCACTTCATCCAGCTGAGATTTATCTATTATTTTTATCGCCACCTGCATCCCAGACACAAATAAATACAATTAGTATACAATGGTTAACATTTCCCAGTTATAAATTTTTAAAATAAATGACATCTAAGACTCTACCAGTAGGTAGGGCCCCATGACAATGATGATAACTAGCTTAAATTCAATGTCATTCATGCATTTTACTATGTCTCAAACATCTGCCATGTATAAGGCGCTGTGGCAGATTTTGTTTGGGAGTGTTTTTAATGTGGTATGATGAATAACCCTTTATAGCTTTATTTTAATGTGTTATGAAGAATTGCCCTTTAAAGTTTTACTTTAATAAAACATAATTCTCAGTACAACTGTTAACTCCTTACTCCATTTAAAAACTGAAGAAATAAAATCTCAGCAATTTCAACGAGTTGTCATCTCATTGCAAAGTACCTATAAACAAATCATCAACCAAATAGAAGATAGTTTCTATGATAACTGAAATACAATTTGTCTAAAAAAGGAAATGACAGGTTCCAAAGCATACAGACTTACTTTTCTGGAAAAAAAAAAAAAACTAAGTATAAATAATTAAAATCCAACTACTTTAAAAATACCAATTGGATTAAATTTTATTTTAAAAATCAAGTGCAAAACTTCAAATGTTAGTAATTACATGAAATTTTTACTGAAAGGAATCTGATTTTCAAAAAACATGGCCTCTTCTTGTCATAGCTAGACAGAATAATATGAAGGAGATGTATCTGAAGGTGAATAACTAGGCAGTCATAAAACAACAACTGTGCAATTTTTTTCATGGAACAAAAAATATATATATATTTTTAAATTCAGTAGGCATGTAGTTAGGAAATAAGTCATTCTGATTTAAATAAAACTTTCAGATAACTGGGAACGACCCAAACTTAATTATAGTAAGTTCTTAAGAAATTCTGAACTGTACTTCACATTCTACCCAAAAGTATTCTGAACATATCAGGTTTTATGTTGCTGTTTCAGGATAATTTTTAGTATCAATTCTTGTATTGCTGGCTTCCCAGGTGGCACTAGTGGTAAAGAACCTGCCTGCCAATGCAGGAGACATAAGAGCTGTGGGTTCGATCCCTGGGTCAAGAAGATTCCCTGGAGGAGGGTATGGCAACCCACTCCAGTATTCTTGCCTGGAGAATCCTAAGGACAGAGAAGCTCAGTGGGCTACAGTCCAGAGAATCACACAGATTTGCACAGGACTAAAGTGACGCAGCACAACACTCATTTTATTGCCATAACATTAATAGTTCAATACTCCTAAAAAGTAACCAAGATAATTGGACTCAATTTGTCAATTCACTGATTTGAATTCACTAGGCTGATTCCTTGGTGGCTCAGACAGTAAAGCGTCTGTGCACAAGGCAGGAGACCCAGGTTCAATTCCTGGGTCGGGAAGATCTCCTGGACAAGGAAATGGCAACCCATTCCAGTATTCTTGCCTGGAAAATCCCATGGACAGAGAAGCCTGGTAGGCTATAGTCCACGGGGTTGCAAAGAGTCAGACAAAACTGAGCAACTTCACTTTCACTTACACTTTAGTCAATTCACTTAATTCCCTTCAGTTCAGTTCAGTCGCTCAGTCCTGTCCGATTCTTTGCGACCCCATGAATCGCAGCACGCCAGGCTTCCCTGTCCATCACCAACTCCTCGAGTTTACTCAAACTCATGCCCATCGAGTTGGTGATGCCATCCAGCCATCTCATCCTCTGTCATCCCCTTCTCCTCCTGCCCTCAATCCCTCCCAACATCAGGGTCTTTTCCAATGAGTCAACTCTTCGCATGTGGTGGCCAAAGTATTGGAGTCTCAGCTTCAGCATCAGTCCTTCCAATGAACACACAGGACTGATCTCCTTTAGGATGGACTAGTTGGATCCTTGCAGTCAAAGGGACTCTCAAGTCTTCTCCAACACCACAGTTCAAAAGCATTAATTCTTCGGCGCTCAGCTTTCTTCACAGTCCAACTCTCACATCCATACATGACCACTGGAAAAACCACAGGCTTGACTAGACGGACCTTTGTTGGCAAAGTAATGTCTCTGCTTTTTAATATGCTATCTAGGTTGATCATAATTTTCCTTCCAAGGAGTAAGCGTCTTTTAATTTCATGGCTGCAGTTACCATCTGCAGTGATTTTGAAGCCCCCCAAAATGAAGTCTGACACTGTTTCCCCATCTATTTCCCATGAAGTGATGGGACCAAATGCCATGATCTTAGTTTTCTGAATGTTGAACTTTAAGCCAACTTTTTCACTCTCCGCTTTCCCTTTCATCAAGGGGCTCTTTAGTTCTTCACTTTCTGCCCTAAGGGTGGTGTCATCTGCATATCTGAGGTTATTGATATTTCTCCTGGCAGTCTTCATTCCAGTTTGTGCTTCTTCCAGCCCAGTGTTTCTCATGATGTACTCTGCATATAAGTTAAATAAGCAGGGTGACAATATACAGCCTTGACGTACTCCTTTTTCTATTTGGAACCAGTCTGTTGTTCCATGTCCAGTTCTAACTGTTGCTTCCTGACCTGCATACAGATTTCTCAAGAGGCAGGTCAGGTGGTCTGGTATTCCCATCTCTTTCAGAATTTTCCACAGTTTATTGTGATTTACTAGGTCAAAGGCTTTGGCATAGTCAATAAAGCAGAAGATGTTTTTCTGGAACTCTGCTTTTTCGATGACCCGGCAGATGTTTGCAATTTGATCTCTGGTTCCTCTGCCTTTTCTAAAACCAGCTTGAATATCTGGAAGTTCACAGTTCACGTATTGCTGAAGCCTGGCTTGGAGAATTTTGAGCATTACTTTACTAGCATGTGAGATGAGTGCAATTGTGCAGTAGTTTGAGCATTCTTTGGGATTGCCTTTCTTTGGGATTGGAATGAAAACAGACCTTTTCCAGTCCTGTGGCCACTGCTGAGTTTTCCAAATTTGCTGGCATATTGAGTGCAGCACTTTCCCAGCATCATCTTTCAGGATTTGAAATAGCTCAACTGGAATTCCATCACCTCCACTAGCTTTGTTCATAGTGATGCTTTCTAAGACCCACTTGACTTCACATTCCAGGATGTCTGGCTCTAGGTGAGTGATCACACCATCGTGATTATCTGGGTCGTGAAGATCTTTTTTTGTACAGTTCTTCTGGTATTCTTGCCACCTCCTCTTAATATCTTCTGCTTCTGTTAGGTCCATACCATTTCTGTCCTTTATTATGCCCATCTTTGCATGAAATGTTCCCTTGGTATCTCTAATTTTCTTGAAGAGATCTCTAGTTTTTCCCATTCTGTTGATTTCCTTAATTCCCTCAGACTCCTGTTAATACAGTTAGTTCTTTCTTCTTCCCTTACAGCTCTCTGTCCTGTGCTGTTAAAGTCCTACTGTAAGGTTTATTTCTTATCTTTCCTATTTCTATTTTGCTGTCCATAGCTTGTTGCCTAATTTGAATTAACTGTAACTCATAGAACTCAAGCCTCCCAAGAGAAGTGAGATTACTAAAATATAATGGGTAAAATTAAATTTATTGCTTAAGAAGAAAGGCAGTAGCTCCTTCTTTAGGCAGTAAAGTTTGCAGGTTTTGTGACAGTTTCATTATGTTTGGCGGAGAAGGCAATAAGGCAATACCCCAGTACTCTTGCCAGGAAAATCCCATGGCCGGAGGGGCCTGGTAGGCTGCAGTCCATGGGGTCGTAGAGTCGGACACAACTGAGTGGCTTCACTTTCACTTTTCACTTTCATGCATTGGAGAAGGAAATGGCAACCCACTCCAGTGTTCTTGCCTGGAGAATCCCAGGGATGGCAGAGTCTGGTGGGCTGCCATCTATGGGGTTGCACAGAGTTGGACACGACTGAAGCAACTAGCAACAGCAGCAGCAGCATTATGTTTGGTGGTATTTTATTTATTCCCATGATCAAAATATTCTAGAAAGTAAGAATGCTAGATGAGTGACTGATTAATACTGTACTTACTATTAGGAATATTATTGGACCACCTCAAATCTAAATCTTTAAGGTGACCCCCTTCACCCAATTAATAGTATGACAGAATACAGTATTATCAGTTATTTTGGGTAACCTTGGGTACAAGCTGTCAGATAAAAGAATAAGTGTATATTTTAATATCCTCAATATTCATTAGGAAGGTAAGATGGAGGTTTACAGACATGCATATTTTGAAGAAAATTTCTTGCCCTACAATTTTTGGAGTGCATCTAGATATCAGCAGTCCCTCCCCAACAAAAAACTTTTATAATGAAATGGGTCATAAATATCTACTAAATAGAAAAAAAATACTAAATAGAAAGGAATCATGTTTTAAAAAATTCTAGCATGATTACTGTCATTAAGAAATTTATTATATATAACATCTTGAGCATCATATTTAATGTTCAAGAAAAAGTTTAAATACTAAATACCAATTAAAGTAAGGTATTACCAAAAGGATATCTCCTTTTTGACACTCTTCCGGAATCTTAAGAGATAAGATAAATTTTATTTCATTTATTTCTCAATTTTTTGAAGTAAATGGAACAAGCAGTACACTCATGAGTTGATGAAACTGAGGTTGAAAAATATTCTACAAAGTTCTTAAAGCTCAAGTGAATTAATGGGGGAAAAAAAGTCACAGGCCTTCTAACTTCAAGTTCCATCTTTTCGCTATTCTTTGAGCGTATTATTCACACATTTATTGAGCACCTGCTGTATGCCTGGAATTATGCCTAGGATACAAAAATGAACAAGATCTGATTCCCACCTTCAAAGAACTTAATAGGTCTATGAGAAAAGGGGGAAGACATTTTGGAAAACAAATTTTATGAACAAACAAACAAACAAAATCTGCATTTGGGGATTTCCCCAATGTTGTATGAAATTCCGAATTTACAAAAGAGTTGTGCTCCACTAGTTCGTTATAAAGGTTTTTATGAACTTAGATTTCTGGGAACTTCCTTTCTGCATCCCTTCTCTACTTAGTTCCAAACATAGTACCAAGGACAAAATCTGCATGGTCACAACAAAGTCATGC